GATGGTACCTTTTGCTTGCTAGGAACAAAGATGGAATCTCTTCGAAGCAGCTGAAGCTGTCTATGTCTAATTGATCCCTGCCGAAGATTTCCACAGCTCCTGGTGCAACTATAGCAAAAACTTATTGTGCTATGCAGTACATATAAGGAGTGTTGAAAATTTATCTTTATTGTCACAACGTTCTTGAATCTGTAACTAACTCTCTATGATTAGAAAACTAAGCACGTCAACAGTTTTTAGGACTTGCTAGAAAGCTGTTTATGTCGGTGAATCATTCTGGAGGCAAGAAGTTCTAAGATAACACTTACTTAGACTTCAAGATCATAAATGAACAGCCTCGAGGTCTGCTAGTAATAATGAAAAGTTTTTATTTTAATATAATAATCTTCAAGTTTCTCCCATCTTAACCAAGTGAAACCAAAAAAAAGAAAAAACATGAATAGAAAATGTCGAACATAAGCATTTGGATAATTAGGCAAATGTCACATTTAGGATTTTCTAGATGACACATAGGATACTCAGAATATAAAATGCAAACCTTATGATGTTTTGATTGACTTTCATCTATCTTCTGATATGATGGCATCCTGTTGATGCTTGTTTAATATATTTCTTTACCTTTTCCTCTCAAAAGAAAAAAGTAACTGCAGTTCTGATTAATTTGTTTCTTTACTTCTGGCTACTCTACCACAATTGAAATTTATATGGCGTGCAATAGACAGTAAAACAATTTCAGAGATGCTTATCACGGGCTACTGATTTTTGATATGCAATAATTTATTGGCTTCTTTGACATCAAAGCAGGCAAAAATTTTCCCTAGAGTTATCTTAAAACTATTCCAGAAGTTCAAGGTTTCTTAAATATTTTAAATGCAGGCTATATCTCTGCGAGAGATGGAAGATACTGTATCTTTGGAAGATAAGCTAGGGCGGCCATTATCAAAGAAAGAAAGAAGTAGAATAGGTGTGAGCAGACTTAGGTTATTTTTGGAAGAATTACTACTAAAAAGGTATGCTCTCTTCTTCTTTCCTTTTCAATAACACAACACTTTATATGTCCGTGATCTAGAATATTGAAGAACTAAGAATTTCTGGAGTATATTCTTATTAGGTATATGGATAGTGTTCCTTTGGTCATTCCACTTCTTGAAAAAGAGTATCGATGTACAACAAGAAAGCTACATGATATAAACAAGGAGCTCAGGTACCTAATTCAAATTTATGAAACATCTTGGACTTTTGTGATATTGGAGTTTATTCCTTTTTAATTTTTTTTTTTGAAATAAGGGTTTGATTTGAATAAGGCTAATTACCAAAATGTGTCTGAAGTTTATGTTAATCCATAAAAATTTGGTTGCATTTTGGAACTTGACAACCACAGGAATGGTGCTAACTTTTAGATTAATAAATACACCTCAATCTTCCTCTCTCCCCCCAATCACCATTCAACATCTCCATAGTTATTTTGAACACATCCAATTCTGGAATCTGAAGGGAACTGGCTGAAAATGGGAATCAGTGGAAAAGAGCACAAATCACTGGATCATCTCTGGTATAGACTTAAAATAGAGAAGTTGTAAGTGATGGGGAACTACCTTTAGGTTGGTTGATGGGCATTTAGCTGAGGAACAGAATGTCACATAGTTACCAATAGAACGGAATTAAGTGGCAGAAAATAGTTGCTTCTCACAGTACGGTTTAGACTTAAAATAGAGATATTATAAGTAATGGCTTAGTACCAATTTGGTTGATCAATGAGCATTTAACTGAAAAACAGAATATGTTACATAGATACCAATACAACGGAATAAGCAGCAGAATAATTATTTCTCAGAGCAGATGGAAACATCAAAGGCATATTCAAGCTCTGGAACGTAAAAGCATGTTATGAAACTGAAAGACTTTAAAATGTAGAAGTTCAGATTATGAAAACGCAATGTGCATGCAAGGTCACTCTCGGGCAATTTACTGAACCCTTCATATAATGCGGAACATGTTTACCAACAGGACACTAAGGTGACAGAAGTAACACACATGCCAATCTTAGTTCCTAGCACTATTACAAATGAGAAACTGGAGAGGTGGTTCATGCTTGAAATTCCAGAGATGAAAAGTGGGAAAAGAAAGTCTGGAATTTCTATTTCAGAATTGATGTTCAAATTCTTAACTTATAAAATATTGTTGGAAAAGTGAAGGATTCCAGATTTAAGGGAATCCTGGTCAAAATTTCCTGATTCTAGCATGATTTCTTTTCCGATCAGGATCCTTGATTTTGGGCTGATATAGGCTAATCTGATTAGATTTTTCCTAGAATATCTCCTAGATTTTCTCCTCTGTAAATAAAAATACTACACAAACTAACTTAAAAACACAGGTTAGAAAAATTTTATTCAATCACTCTAATTTCTTGGTATCAGAGTCTGGTTCTTAGTAGCTCAAGTAAACCTAAATTGTAACCTTTTTTCTTCTTCTCCACCACAATCTTGTCTAGTGCAAGTCAGCCATCATCCTCGGAAGAATCATCCATTGTTTTTCCAAGGAATCCCAGTAGTATAATATCGTTTTCTTCGACAGATGCGAATGACTCACTGCAAAATGCCCACAACAGATTGAATAGGTATTATGGAATTAGTCATCCAAGGAAAAGGGAAAGAGGGTTATCTCACCAGCGAAATCCTTTCTCCAGCCAAAACCAAAGCTAACGACAGGTCATGGGAAGATGAAATCCATTGTTATGGCCTGGCTGATCAACTCCATGGAACTGCACATTAGGCACACTTACCTGTTCTACAATACAACACATGAAATCCAGAAAGCAACTCAGAAGAAAACTCTTCTTAAGGCTTTGAAATTCAATCATTCCTCCGGAATACCAAGCAGAGAACGAAATCAATAACAGAGTACTGAAACAAGTTTCTTAGCATTGGAAAGAGAGGGATTTGTTTTATACAATTCAATGGAAGTGTACTGATGATGGAATTCTATACAACTAGGTACCTGAGAAAGACCAAGTCTTTGGCTTCCTTCAAGGTTTACAAGGTGAATGAAGTAAATTGGAACCCTTGTGATACTTCAAGAAGCCTTCTCAGAAGTCAGACGGGAAGAAAGAAGGAAGAAAGCAATCTTCAATGCAACCTTGTACGCAGGGCCTGAAAAAGTTGTTTACCACCTTCATAGATGACCACATTTGAGCTTGCTGGGTTTACCTCTTAAAAGAAAATTCTGATGCCGGGTTTGTATTTCAACAATTCCTTAAGATGGTAAAAATTTTGTTTTAAGGGAATACTTTACACATTCTGGACAATTTTCTCATTGGTAATGGAATTTTCTGTCAAAGTTTGTGTTTTTATACCCCTCAACAAAATTGGGTAGCAGAGAGAAAAAATAGTCATCTATTGGAAGTTGCAATTCACTTCTGTTTGAAAACTTTGTGCCTCTCCAATATTGGGTGAGGCAGTGTGACTGTCTCTTACCTCATTAATAGACTTCCATCAAAACACCCAATTTTCTAACTGCCATTAGTTGTCTCCAGAAAGTTTTTCCTCATGTGAGATTATTCAGTTCACTCACTCCAAAAGTCTTGGTTGTTTTGCATTTTTGCATAATATCAATCCTATAGGAGGATACTTGACTCAAAAGCCAATAAATGTATTTTCGTATGATCCTCTCCTACTCAGAAAGATTTTAAATGTCATAACCCACACTTAAAGTAATTCTATATGTCCTATAATATCATTTTCCTAGAAGATTAACCTTCTTACTCCCATGTTTCTCTTCAGGGGAAGGAGCTAAGGGAGGAAAATCATTGAGATCTTTCTATATTTTGTCCAGTCTCATTGTTTATTTCATTATCGTTATCTCCCTCATTATCTCTACAACACATTTTTACGGGTGACTTAAGTCACAGGGACAACAACCTTAGAAACAGGGTGAACTATTTGTTTACTCAAGAAAACCCCAAGCTACCTAGCAAAACCAAGCATCCAAGCTAGGAGCTGATCAAATTGACAAGAAGCATCTCAAGGTACCATGGATGATTTGGATGTGCCAATTGTCAAGCGAAACTTGATCCATCTCAAGGTACCAAGATTCCCTTGGTTGCTCAAGGGCATGGCCAAACCTACGATCTAGACTATAAAGAACATTTACACTTGATGCAAAGCTGAATTAATTAGAGTTCTCTTATTTATAACAACTAATTTACATTGGGAACTTCACCAAATGGATAAATCAAATGCCTTCTTGAATAGAACCTTCGAAGAAGAAGTATGTATGAAATTACCGCCTGCATATAAGGATATAGAAAAATTTAATTATATGTATAAGCTAAAAAAGACACTCTACAGGTTAAAACAGTTTCCTAGAGCCTGGTTTACCAGGTTCAAGTACTATTGTGAAGCAATTTGGATATGAACAAGGCCAGGGGGACTATACTCTATTTGTTAAGCAGCCTAATGATGGGAAGAAGTCAATCTTGATTGTCTATGTTGATGATATGGTGATCATAGGTGATGACATTAAAGAGATAACAAATCTCAAGAGGTTGCTGAAATCCGATTCAAGATTAAAGACTTTGCGAAACTTCAGTATTTCCTTGGGATAGAAATAGATAGAAGCAAGTCAGACATTTTCATTTCCCAAAGGAAATACACTGTAGACCTATTAAAGGAAATAGGAAAACTAGGGTGTCATCTTGCTAGCAACGTTAAAAAAAAAATTGGGAACATAAGGTTTTTGAGGAAGATTCTCTGGCAAACAAAGAAAGATATTAATGTTTTGTTGGAAAACTGGTCTATCTATCACTAACAAGACCTGATATTGCTTATAATGTTAGTGTGGTTAATCAATATATGCATGTTTCAACATCTTTTCAGGTATTGAAAGGCACACCTAGAAAGGGACTTTTGTTTAAGAAAAGTAACGGTCGGGAAATAGAGGGTTGTGCAGATTCTGACTGGGCAAAATCAATAGAAGATACTAAGTCCACTGTTGGTTATTGCACAAAGTTTGGGGAAGTCTTGTTACCTGAAGGAGCAAAAAAGGAACTATAATAGCCTAGAAGCAGAATATAAAGCAATTGCACAAGGCATTTGTGACTTAATCTAGTTAGGAAAACTATTATCATATTTTAATATCATATTGGAGGATCCTATGGAGCTTCCATTATGGTAGTAAATTTGCAATTGCAATTGTTTGCATCCCCACGCAACATGATCGCATGAAACATTTTTTTTTGAGATAAAATTAAGAAGATGCATTAAAAAGTGGTAATAAGGGGGTACCGCCCATTTACAAAAGATTTACATATCAATGAAAATATCGACAACAGCTCTCATGTCATCAAAACATAAGAGACTGTGTCCCAAAAGTATGGATCCAAGACAGTGTATCCATGTATCGTTGATATTTACAAAACTATCTTCAATGCCTTCCAAAACCCTATGATCGTATGAAACATGTTCGAATTGACAGAAGTTTCATCAAGACCGAAATAGAAAGTGGAGAAATAAATTTTTCTTATGTGCCTACCAAACCACAAGTTCATATGTTCATTAGAGCACTACTTAAGCGTGATTTTGAGTCAAATGTAAGCAAATTGAGAATGATTGTATATATTCACCAGGTTGAGGGTTAGTGTTGGAAAGTGATAAGGATTCCAGATTTAAGGGAATCCTGGTCAAGTTTTCTGATTCTAGCATGATTCGTTGTTCAATTAGGATCCTCGATTTTAGGCTGATTTAGGCTAATCTGATTACGTTATCTCTTAGATTTTCTCATTTATAAATCTATATAATCACTGCAAAAACTACATCAAAAGCACAAAGCAGAAAAATTTTATTCAATCACTTTGATTTCTAATAAGACAAAAGGACATGCAGCGAAGGTCCAGAGCACCATTTGTTTAAACCACTCTTTGGAACTGCTGGTATTGTAGATGCCAAGAAGGCTAGGATACTAAAAAGCTTCTGTTTTGCCATATCCTACTAAGGTTGTAACAATAAGAAACTAAAACTCTCACATCACAAGTGAATAACTCTTTTTTTTTTAATTGAAATAAAAAGTATAGTGTATTTCATTAATTCACAAGTAACAAGATGGTACCAACTCATGTATAGAATTGGATGTCAATAAACTCCTCAAAGTCCTCCAATTAATAAAGAGGATGACCAAAACCAAAAAACTCAAGATCTGGAATCACCTAGC